TCGGTCGCCTATGAGACTCGACGTACTTTGCAACATTCGCAGATGTGTGCTGGTCGCGGGAGACAACATACACACTTCTCTGTCCTAAAGGGATTTTGTCTTTTTGAAAGTAGCAAAAAGTCTAAGTACCCTAAGCTTGCAGCGTGCTAGTCGCTATATTTTTTGTGGCTTCATAATAGCAGTAAATAACGCCATGAAGAATTCTGTTATTTTTCGGAAGTATTTGTTTCAAAGTCGAGGAATGCTAGTTTTTACGTCCTTAACCCCAACAAATTTTGTCCTTAAAAAGAGGACCAAACCGTTTTTGGATCGCACAAAGTCACGTCACTTCTGTCCTTAACCCCATCAAAAAAGAATGATGGTCACTCCGCTAGCGTGCGTTGCCCGCATTCCGCATTCTGCATTCCTGCAGCGCTCATCGCGCTGCACGTTTACACAAGCACCCATGGCATCATGTCTGACAGCGAGTCGTCTGAAAAGTTCCGTACGTCTTTATATCCGACAGCGAAGACGAAGAGGAGGTCCTGGGATCCTGGAAGTACCCCAACGTGATAAATCAGCGCATTCAAGTAGACAAGGTCGATACGTTTTTGCTGGATAAGACACGTGAAGAAGCTGGCCAGGTCGCTAAAAGAATATTGCAGCGAATGTTCGGTACTACACAGCATCACCTCGACGGTGTTGGCGTTTCCAGTTTCCTGTTCGTGTGGCTGGATTCGACTGTGCTGGCAAGGCTCCTGATCTTTGTGAACAGGAGCCTGGCTGATTATGCAGCAGCATCTACAGATGACATCTACAAGTTTCTTGAGGTCGAGCTGTGTTTATGGTGTAACCCCGGACTTCTTCTACGACGAGAGCAATAGGGCTCTGTATCCACCTGCTGAAGAGGCACTACCGCTGCCCAGATATCGCGCTATTTTGGCAGCTTTAAGTGGCAATCCGTTTACAAAAGAAGGAGGATCCGACCAATGGATGGCACCGTTCACACCTGACAGAGACATCTCTTATGCATACGAACTCGCACAGCGTCTATCCGCAGACATTGGTTTTGTGGATGGAACAACGATAGCATCATTAGATGATGATTTGATCCGCTTGCGCTCAAAGACAGTGGACGATATTGGACTTACGCACGTGCGCAACCCGAAAAAGGGGTATTGTGCTTAATGATCGTGCTATGCTGTAAGGTAATTGATTTTACCAAGCGAATGTTTGGCAGATACGGCCCAGTGCAGCATGGCGTGGTATCGCTGGTTACAGGCTTGCTTTTGGGTGGACATGTGGCTGCCAACGGCGAATCAAAGGTGGACATTGTGAGGATTCTTCAGAGATCACTCTGTGGATCATCGACGGAGAACCAAATTCGACTACCAGGAATTCTTCACGCGCTGGACAGAGGTTATCAGTCTCATGCTGTCAACCAACAAATTGCTGACACTGGTGAAGGTATCACCGGTACCCATAAGCGCACACAAAACTTTCCCTTTACATTTGGCAAAACACCAAGTCAGTACCAACAATTAGTCTTAGGGAAAGGAGATCGTGCTGCGTATTGGGCCACCAAACGTATACCAGTTCAACCAGGGATGCTTCCTGCAAATGCACACGCACTTGCATACCGGTCAGGGCTTGGAAAAGTGGCATTAGGCTACACAACGTTTGCCAGCGCGGGACCTGATAACTGGTCTTATGTATCACGGACACTGAAGCGAGTCTCACTTCGTAGGGAGGAGTTGTTTGCAGCTTTTGAGGACGGTATTCAGAAATTGACGATGGAGCAGAGAACTACAGATTGGGTTTTACTCAGGAAGTTTCGCATTACGGGCTCGGTTGCTGCAAAAATATTTAGCGCCATTGCTCACAGTTACGGTGATGGTAACCAAGGTGATCTAGTCGATGATCCTGATGTTCAGGCAGTGATACTGCAACTGCCATTGGGAACTAATCGCCAACAGCGGGGTCCCGCCCAGACCAGAAGCAGTGAAAACGCAAGAGCACCGCTGCTTGAAGCAGAGCTAATCGTGAAAACGCTGGGAGATCTAAAACCCTTATGCCGTGACCTGGGACTTCGTGTATCTGGAAACAAAGCAACGTTAATTGGTCGACTTCTTCAAAATGATGCTGGGGAGGCTCTTCCTGGTCGCAATATTCGGCGAGATTCCAGATATGCAGTTGACTCAGCCCTTTTATCGACTTGGTTCATGGCGCCGTTTTCAACACCATCTACAAAGATTGGGACCGCCAACGAAGTCAATATTGCCTCGCACATCACGCTATTTCTGGATATACACACACACGATCATATCGAGGAGCTCAGAGAATACGGTTTACTGTGCAAGTAAGTGAAGCAAAGTAATAGTCGGGTCTGACAAGAAACTAATTTTTTCTCTAGGAGCAATATGCCAGTAGCTGCTTTCTCACCGGATCATATTGCTGCCATCGTGTCTGTGCGATGTGGGAGATTCAATGCAGTAATGGAGCACAAAAATCGAGCTACTGCTCGCACAGTTCAGCAGGAACAAGCTGCTGCTAAAGCTTATGGTATATTCACGACAGTGGAACTGACTGGTATGGGATCCGGCTTCTGATTGAGCGCAGTGATTCCAGAGTCCAGTCACCGCCTCCAGATACTGCACAGCATTGCTTGCAGTGGGATCACACATGGATACCTTGTGTAGGCATCCTCTATATACATAATTCGAGTTGTTCACGTTGTCGTGAGCGAGAGTGCATCTCACACTTACCAGAGTGCATTGAAGGCAATTGCGTTGGGCTACATGCAGAAACCGCCAGCATTCCCGAGTTTGAAACTGATCAATTAGGACACTGTGCTGATCAAGCCACGCTGGTTCAAACCCTGGGGTTACGGAGGGCATTAGTGAAGCTTATCAACGAGCGGCAAAACCCACTCCCTCCAGCCAAGCATATCATGCCAACTTTAATTGCGTTGTGGAATCGTGTCAAGGGGGTATCGATGTCTATTCAAGATATCTGAAGAATGTCAAGTCGAAGCCTTTCCGACTGACACCTAGTGCAACAATTTGGCTTCGTCTGCTCATGACTCTAGTGTACAAAATGCCTACCAGTCGTTTCTGTTATTCCAGGTAGCTAGCAGCGCTCAATTCGCGCGCAGAATATGGGTTCTAACTGTGATTCTTGCAGTCACACGTTTTTTTATGATTCGAGGACTATGTACAAGCTACAAGGTCTATCAGAAACACAAGCAAAATCTCCCCAGTTTTGCCGCATTTTGCCGAGAAGCTGCCGTTGTGCTTTCAAAGAAGGCCGGCTCTCTGCGCCCACTGAGCGATGCTCGAGACAAGGAGAATCGGTCAGGTCCACCGACATTGGAACTTTCATTCGCGTACAACAAACGAAATCACTTCGAGTAATCCACAGAGTGGATTCATCTTCGGCTCTCTAAACGTAATGATCACCATGAGGTACGGGACAATTGTCGCTCTTTCTGCTCATAATAATGTATCCAATCAAACCGTTCAACTACAGGTCCGGATCCAGGGTGCACGTCAGAGATGCTGCATTATCTGCTGTCAATTGAATCACGACAGTGAAAATGGCAATCACACGCGCAAAGGGTACAAAGCAAGCTTTGAGTGTGATATCTGCAAAGTTTCACTTTGTCGCGCAGCAAGATGGAGTGATGGCGAGTCCTGTTTCGAAATTTTTCATCGTGAAAGGAAGCTGCCAGACCCATGCAAGAGCTCACACCATCTCAAGTCAACCAAGTCAAACGAAAACAGAGCACCCCCTCCATCCAGAAAGCGATCCAGTGTGCTGGATCCTCCGAATCGACGAGCACCAAGCGTTCGCTTAACGAACAGGCATCGCCGACGATCATTGCGCTTGCAGCCAGTAGTCAAGGTGACAAGCCGAGCAAACAGCAATTTGTCCTAAACTTCAGGACAAACTTCAGTGAAATCAGTCTTAGGAGTGCAAGATTTCAAGTAGCGTAGTGAAGCTGATTCGATTATCACTGAGTCAAGTTCGTGAAGGATAACGAAGAAGACATGACAAATATTTATCTTGTTCCTTTCATTTGACTATTAATCTGCAGGACACACCAATCAAAGCCACTGAAATTTGGTCCTCATTTTTGTTCTTAAAAAAATCTTGTTGGGGTTAACCGTCCGAAAATGAGACCACGCAAAACAAAATGATACTTAGGAACCTAAGTACGAATCGCGATTTAAGCACTTTAAACGAAAGCGGGGCGTCTCCTCGATCTTTTGAGTCCTTATAAGCTACAGAATGCTTAGAACTGAAGAAGTTGTGGTCGCTCAAAAATAATTTCCATTTATGGGCCCTCGAAATGACGATACATTTAGGAGTGTTGTGAGCTCAACATTTTTTCAATTTTAAAAGCTCTTGCTAAAAGCAATTGAATAAGGGTACTTTTACAGTGTTTTTCGATGGAAATTTATGCCAAATATCACATTCCGGTTAAGTGCGAAAATCAATTGGCCAACTTAATCGATAAAAAAAATATCTCGATAACTCTAAATGGTTTCGTAAGTATCATTTTTTTTGACGCAGTCTCAAACGTGTGCGAATACTGATGTGATTGTGCGTTTTCTACCCTCAACGCCAGCAGTGCTTCGCAGCTCATGGAGCAAAGTCCTCGTCGGTGACAGTGCAAACCTGTTCTTTTTAAGGTCATTGCAAAGCAACTGCGTACTTAATCATACGCACTTTTGACCATTCCACTTTCTGCAATCAACACGTCTTTCACGAAACCTTTGGCCTGCATTTTAAGGGCTAATAAGTCTTCTGGGAGTGATCCGGAAAAATAAAAGCTAAAACATATTTCTTTAGTTTTTTTTTATCTTTAATTATAGCAAGAAACGCTCTTATTATTTAGTATGGTAGAATAGCATGTCCATTCGGACACAGAGCGTAGGAATTCGGAATATTACAATAAGCATTTGCCAATCAAATCGGTACTTGGACGCTTCGTAGCCAATAAGAGAGCTTCAAATCTCACCAGCTGTCTATCGGACCTTTCGGACATATTGTGTCCGAATGATTTCAAAATATTTGATATTGCTATAGTGAAACTAGGTCGGCGCCATATTTCAAAAATATCGTGGCTATTCGGACAATTATCGGTTTAGACGGGGGAGAATGAATGGAGTCTCCGGCAGACGAGACATGACCAAAGTCACACTCCTGAGCAATGACAACTAAAGCGCTGATACAGTCGTTTATTGCAGGTGATAAGTCAGGTGATGCCCTCTGTAGCGTGCTAGACAAATTTTCCATGCATTTATCTTTCCAAGAGACCTCTAGAGGCTCTTTGCTGTCTAAGAACTCTGTGGCTAGCTACTTTGGGAACGTCAAAAGCCATCTCCTAGAACTGTTTCCTGTTCTAAATAGTGTCACGGACCGCCGTTTGCAGAAAATTGCGTCGATTCTCCACAAACACTGCGCCAAACGAGGGACGGAGTTCACCCACCAAGCTCCTCCTTGCACGAAAAAGGATCTGAAGGCACTTGTGACTGTGATTTACAAGGGAGCGAGTACTCCAGATGATTACAAGGACGCAGGGCTTGTTGGTCTGCTGTGGTATTTACTGGGGCGATCTTACCGACACAGCAAGCCTCGTAAAAAGTCAGGTAGCTGTTTATCCAG